TTTCCCCATCAGAATGGACTTCAAATCTTGCCCGCGTACGCCGATTACTTTCGCCTGAATACGGCGACTACTGCCTTGAACGTCGCTATCGTCTTCGTTGGAGCTGTCATTGCAACTCCGTTCGCTGGTACTCTCTCAAACAAATGGGGTCGCAAATGCGGTCTGGTGTCAACGTCAGCTATCGCTATTTGTGGAGGCGTTCTTCAAGCAGCTTCTGTCCATGAAGCTATGTTCTGCATTGGCAGGCTTCTTATAGGCATCTCAATTAACACAGGATCTGTGGCTGCACCTGCGTAAGTTGGAACGGATTGCGCTAACGCTTGCAATGGCTGACAGTGTCCTCTAGGTACCTTGCAGAGGTAGCTCATCCGGACAATCGTGAGATGCTCGTCGGGCTCTGGGGGTCTGCTTATTACGTTGGGAGTATTCTTGCTGCGGCCATCACGTTTGGCAGTCAATATCTCAATTCTACCTGGGCATGGAGGCTGCCATCTCTGGTGAATACTATGACCTTTATTCAAGTCTCCGCCGATTCAGATCTGCTGACCAGAAGAAGCTCCAAGTCTTGCCGTCAGTGCTTTGCATTGTTCCCTTGGCATTTATGCCTGAATCTCCCCGGTGGCTGGTATACCAAGACCGTCATGAAGAGGCTAAGGCGATGATTATCAAGTACCACGGAGGCGGCAACGCCAACTCTCCTATTGTGGCCAGAGAATACGAAGAAATACGCCAATCACTCTCCCACGAGAAAGCGACGCAAACGGTCGGGTTCAAAGCCCTCGTGGCAACAAAACCCAATCGTTGGAGACTCGGTGTTGTTGCGGCCACGGCCGGTAAGTATATCACACCTCGTATTTCTTTCCGAGCTTACTCATCCTCCGTTGAAGTTTTCTGCCAGTTTAGTGGAAACAACATCATCACTTATTATCTTGGGGAGACTCTCTCCACTGCCGGCATCACCAAAGTACAGACGCAACTCGGTATAAATATAGGCATCAGTAGCTTCAGCCTGGTCGCTTCTGTGCTTGGAAGCATCTATACTGCAAGACTGGGTCGTCGTCCTTCATTCTGTGAGAGGACCTTGCCATCTCATTATGAATCGGAAATTTGCTAATAAGTGCCAGTGATCTCTACTGGTTTAATGAGCATGACTCTACTCATCTACGCCATCCTTACGAAGCTTTACATCGGCAGAGACAATTCAGGGGCGTCCGACAGTTTGGTGTTCCTGATCTTCCTCTATTTCGGAATATACTCTTTTGTGTGGACGCCTCTTTCCGCGCTTTATCCAGTCGAGGTTCTCACATACTCAACCCGTGCACATGGATTGGCAGCCTATAGCTGTATTGTCTACCTCACAGCCTTCTTCAACACATACGTGATACCCTTTGCGATGAGAATTACCTGGGGTTTCTATCTTATTACCGCTTTGTGGTGTTTAGTTGAATGTGTGGTGATCTATTTCTACTTTCCAGAGACGATGGGTATGTCCATGGAAGAAATTGATGGTGTATTTGAAAAGGACATGGCTACTGTTCTAGAAAGTGTACGGGTGGATGTGGACGTCAAGGCCTATGAAGGAAAGGACGTGACGACCACACCTGTATGAAGGTTTACAAATGATCCATCAAGTTGGAGAACGCAGCAACTTCCAGATCTGATCTTCTTGACCGGTAGAATTACTGCTGAATGTTGATGTCGGCGTGCCTTGCGGAACCAAGACTCTATCAATTTGGCTATTTAGGCATGCTCGACCGGCAAACTGTTCCAGGGGCATTCGTGCTGCCATCTTAGAACAGGAACTTGTTGCAATCACGTTTCCTTTCCTTTTCTTGTCAGATTCTATAGTATTCAATTTGGCGGTTTAGTTGGGGGAATGCTGCCTGCTCTCCTTGCGCTTTATTGCTTTCCCTCAGAGAAAAGAAAAGACGAAAAGACTACGACGACAACCAGGGCCGAAAAGAAAAATCGAAAAATCTGTTGTTCAGTCTCCCATTTATTCAAATCTCTCAGTTATCAACTTACTTCAAATAGTGATAAATTAAGAATCATGACTTGTTTTCCAATTCAGTCGTCTAATCTTCCTTGCAGTTTCCATCCACCCCGTTCTCCGCGGCTACTATGTCGCTGTCCTTAACCTCCTCCTCGATCCCAGGAACCCCGGTCTCGGCTGTGACTTATCCGGGTTAATCCATTACGCTGTCGTGGTGGACTTTGAGACCTGTAAATTTGGGGGATTAGTACGGGAACTAAAGCAGAATAGAGTTGCGAATAATCACGGAATTAGACTAGAAAATTTTCACTTACTGGTAGGAAGGGATACCATGAACTCCAGTCTTCCAGCACATATATATCGATGCTCCCCGGGCTGGGCTTAGGATGGCGACTGGTGGGGTTCGGGGTGGGAACGGTCGTCTTTGATTGTCTTTAAGGGAAGGGAGCCCGGCGAAGGTTCTTCAACTTGGCAAAAACCTCTAGGTAGCTGGGTAGCTATGGCAACTTCGACGAATGGACCGGCTGAGACACGAGTGCGGGCCGTAGCCGTAATGGATGTATAGGGACCGATCGCAGGACGGATTGATGGTCTTGGGGTTGGGACTGCACGTCGAAGAGGTGATTTACTTTGTATCCATAAGAACCCCAAGCTTATAGGGCTTAGTGGCACTAAGTAGCCGCTACTGCGCTAATATCTCCAGGCCGAGGGGGCTGCTACTACCGGTGGAACAAGCAATAGGTAGGTATCATCTGAAAGTCTCATCGTTCAATCTTCAAGAACCACCTTGGGTTTCCTGACACCTGCCCAGACCCCCGATGTGCCCTGGGACAGGATACCGTTTGGATCAGCAACTGCGGAACAGTATGAGGAGGCGTTCGAAGGCCAAGAAAAGGGACGACCTCTCCCCAATCGACAACGGGGCTCAAAGCCACCCTGGAGTACTAGATTTAGGCATCCCCACATTGATCCGGCACAAAACGTGCCGGTACCTGACAGACCCCCCTGGTCGATCGAGTTGTTCTAACGCCCCTCTTAGTAGTGCGCTCTATCCACGCAGCTGATCACTGCAAGTGGTCGGCGGACGCAGCCCTTAGCATCAGAAACGGCGAGCAGGGAGGAGAATCATCTCAAGCCCCAAGAAGTGTAAAGAACGGGTTGGAAAGTATCCGAAGACCCCTTGGCTCTTTGCGACAGGCTCGACGGTGATTTGTCTTCATCGCGACACGCTGTCAATGAAAACCCAGTTGGACCAGCATCAGAAGGATGCCTCACTCGTATTAACCGACGCTGCCAGTGTTTCCAATGCCGACAGCCGGGCGTTCAGTTATGATGTGGGACGGGTCGGCATGGTTTGGAATTTGCTCACCGGTGAGCCAACTTTGCGCTATGAATTCCCAGTGTCATCGAAACTCGGCCATGGGTGACCAGTGACCGCATCGTCTTTGGTATACCCCCTTGTCCGAGCATCTTCATCGTCAACTTCGAACTTAACTGTCCACAGGAAATAAAACAGGCGACCTACTTCTCTTCGATCTGCCCATGAGGCGTCATATCATCATCCATACCATAATAGAACCTATCAAAGCGATAATGGCTTCGCCTGACTGCCGAACATATGCCATCGGCTAGGGGTCTTAATACAGATTTATCGATCTGAGCTGATCTAGACCAGGTACGAGACGGGTTCTATCGTGCTGGCTACGTTGCACCCATTCAACACCGTTCACACCATAAAAACTTCATCACCCGCCGTCTCCCTGGCATGGCATGCTCGAGATCACAAGGCAAATCTGCTTACAGTTCAGAGGGCCAATGGCGATCTCAGCGTTTGGAAGGTTTCGAAGAGGCGACCAGACCCCGAACCTGTGTGCTACCGAGGCAGCTAAGGCCTGTAATGACAATGCCAGGCCTCTATTGTATTGTAACCCTTCGAATGCCTTCGAAAGTACTTCGTATATAGCCTGACGGCGCTCGACGGGTTCCCGGACCCCTCAAAAACAAAACAAGTCCTCCGTACAATTACAGCATCCTCGAGGCTCCGTCACATGCCCAATTAAAGCTGCCTCGCTCCCTTTCCTGAACGAAAATGGCAAAGGATAAAGCAGAGTTCGGGGTATATATATACATTATATAATCCCCGAACAAGTCGACGCCCTCGACTCTTTCGCTGACTCATCCCTCGCCGCTTTGCTCTCGCGCTAACAACTATTTAGTCGATTCGCTCCCTCGTCCGCTCTCTTCCACTCCATTCCTCTCTTTCGTCCTCCCCTTCCACTCCCTTCTGCTCCCCCATGCTCCTGCATGCTCCCTCACGGCTCTGGGCCGCTCTTGCGGTGCTTCGCTCGCCTGCCAGGGATGGCCCCCTTTGGGCTCCAGTCTTACAGGCGCCATTGTCGCTCACATCCAGCCTCGTGGTAACTTTACCCGATCACGTCTATGAGGCCCGTTTCGGCCCTGATGAAAGGTAGGACCCCTAAGAGAATGCCTTGCTACGTTGCTGAACGGGGTCAACTGAATCCCCCGACAATGCTTCTCTTCCTCGTCTTCCGTTCGTGTCCTCTCTCCTCTTCCTCCGTCCTCACATCTCCCCCAAACGGTCGACGAGCGGCTTGACCGAAATGTTGGTCAGGCTGGCCGGTTGGACACCGTATCCAAGGGCCCAAGTCGCAGGTGAGTTACAGAAGTCCTGAAGGTCAGCTGGACTGTCGATGACGGCGGTTATGAAGGCAGCGTCGGCCGCGGTCACAGGTTGGAGGTTCATACCTTTCCATCCTCCTTGTTGCCGCTCGTGCTCGTGGTCGCGGTTCATGGATTCGTCGATATCAACCAGCGCAGCAGGAGTTGTGGGAGGCACGCCAAGGGTAAGATCAGGTACGACTTCATCTTCGCGGTCTGAATTTGCGCCGCGACCGATAAGGACCTGCTCGCTGTCCGGTCCGTGGGTGGCGTCGGGGTCTCCAACTACTGGCAGAGTTCCATGTTCGAAGTCTAACGGTTGAAACTGATTTCTCGTTCCACAGGTCTGAGAGGCAGAGCTTTCTACTAATGTTCGATGGGAGATGGATGGCGTCTTATTATTTACAGCTTCCACACGCCGTCGACGGGAGTTTGGGAAGCATAAATCAGGCTCACTCATGTTTTGTCGTTTCTGGCCGCTGAGACGTTCAATATGGTCGTCCGGTCGCGGAGATGTCTTCCGTCGCCCGACTCCGTCCGCTGTTTCTATAACCTCCGCCAGTTGAGCGCAGGAGGTATTTCGATCTGCTGCTGCTGAGGGACGAGGAGAAGGAATCACCACCTCTACCCGGTGGTTGTCGCGCGAGGATGGTGAGAAGCACCGCTGCGAAGACGATAGCCCTGGAAACCTTGGCGGAGGGGCGTTTGACCGGGTGGTCAGATCGATAGCGTCAATGTCAGTCAACAACTTAGGATTACTGGCAGGGGCAGCACCGTCGCCTGGTGAAATAATGATGAAGTTGCCGCGAGTCTGAATTCCCTGTGAGCTGTCGTTCTGGGTGAGGCTGTCGAGCTCTTCGTCGGACAGGAAGTCTCTAGAAAGCTCCAAATCCGGCGGAACACCGGAAAAAAGACTGTCTAAATCGTCGCCGAGACCTTCAGCCAGACTATCGTCGTCACTCTGAGCAAGAGAGAAGTTCTCGTGGAGGGAAGTGGCTCCTGAAATGCGCCCTTCACCCAGACTGTCGTGTAGAGAGCTCCGCCACATTTCATTGATTGAGATTTCGGAGTGCCGGCCCTCCAGGCATATCGGCTCTAGAGGTGAACTGTCAGTAAACTAACTGTCGGAATGACTCGAGTGGCACAAGGCTGTTCAGGCTTACCAGAATGACCTGTGGAGGCCGTGTGAGAATGTTGCTATAGCCGTATATTAGATATCGGTGCGACATCTGGCGGCTGAACCTCGTTGATGCATTCTCGGATTGACGAGGATTGACAAACACCGGAGCTGGCCGGCTCGACATGCACGTGTCGCTGAGGGCGTACCCGAGGTTTGGAAGGGTCTTCGAAGATAACGTTGTCCATACGGAGAACAAGTGGGAAAGTAGTGGGGTACAGAGATTTGTGTCTCTCGAGGGCCCGAGACCGTGGAGCGCGAAGGAGAGGTGGTCCCGGCAAGGAAATATTGGAAAGATCTCCCTGATATAGGCCGTACGGCCGCTTGACGTTCGAAGGGGGACAGAGCATGATTGCAAAACTGAGGGGAGGGATTTCAAATCTCACTACGGATCGGAGAAAGAGAGCGGCCCATCCGAACACAAGTGCCAGGACCACGTCTTCGCCATTGTGGTCATACACCGCCGGGGTCACCCCTGTTTTGGTCCGGAAACCATCGATCTGCCTCCGTCAGCTTTTCCTAGCAGTGTATTCCGTACGTCGAAGGGGTTGTCACCCACCCACGACCTGCCAGATGTCTCGAAAGATTTCATCGTGACCACACCGTCACCGAGGTCTCCGCAGACCAATCACGTACCGCTGAGGCGATCCACAGAACAGGCAGAAGCCATGGTCAGAAACTGGTAGATTTACTAGATTCGGACGCATTCAGCTGATCATCCTTCTCCTCCACGGGGCGGTGTCCTCAACATGTCGACTTTCGAACGCATTCAGATGATCCACCTCCACTTCATGGGGCAGTGTCTCACCATCTCGTTTGACAACCATGGCGGAAGGCTGAGCAGCCCGAGCGCGGTGGCCATCTTCGGATGCTCTAGGGCGGTTGACATGCTCCTGAGACTGGGCCGAGGGCCTTTTCTTCGAATTGACCGCGCATCTGCCGGCCATGCGGATGCATTATGGCCAGGATTCTGGTGGCCAGAGATTGTGTACTGAAACTTGGCGAATGAGAAAGTCAAGCAAGGAAGGGTTCTTTGGCCCTTGTTGGAGCCTGGCTGCCACCAGCCCTTAAAGTTTCGGTCACGCGTCCAATGAACCCCGGTAGTTGTCGTTGTTGGTGCCAGTGTCAATTCAGTCAGTGAGCCCCATGATGTAACCTCCCCTTCCCACTTATGACCGAAGTCGCTGGAGCCGAGGAGCGTGCTGAAGGTCAGATTGGTCTGAGATGGGTGGGGGCGGGAGCGCTGCTGGGATGCATGAATGAATGTCAGCTCTCCTGGAGACAGGTCGGTGCTGTGCTTGCTTCTCGGCTGGTTGGATCAGCCCTGCAGTACTCGCGTATGATGCCACAGACATATGTACCGAGTATGGAATGACGACGGTTCATACCAGCATCATCGACATCACTAGGTCCATAGCCTCAGCAAATCTTCACAGAGGGACTCGGGGAGGTCATCTGGCCAGACGTCCAAGTCGCGGGCGGCTGCGGTCATCGGTGTCGCTCGACTGCAGGCTTCGTGCAAGTCGTCCAGGCACAGGTACCAAGAAAACCCTGGGCCAGCTGAAAGATGGAGCCCCGTGGAGCGTGGACACCAGGACCGTCGCCATTATCCGTTGAGGAGCGAAGACAAGCGCCGTGATGGAGCCTCAGAACTCGTTCACGCAGGGGCGCGAGAGAAGGAGAGGCCAATCGAGCGACGGACGGTCCGAATGGGCAGGAACACGCTCCCAAACTCTGCATTCCTCAGGTCCGAGTCCGGTCTAGTGGGGAGTGTCTCGCGGAACCGCGACGGCGGCGACGGCGACGCGCGATCCTGGCCGTGTCTGGTGACATGTCCCGTTTGCGGAATGGCGCAAGGTCGTGGTGAGGAGGGTCGACGGTCCAGGAGAGGCGTCGACAAAACGGCGAGGGACGACGGTCTTTTATAGATGGTAGGTCGAGCGTGGTCGGAGGCAAAGCGGCGGGAGGCCCGAGCGGTCAGCGCTAAACCCGGACGGGCCACGCTTTCCCCGAAGGGGCGCCCGCCAAACCCGATCGGGGGTCTCAAAGCGGCACCAAACCGCATGGGCGCCCAAGCGAGCCCTCTGCACCGCGACACAGATTATTTAGAATCTTTATAGTCATGAAACTCTATAGTACTTCATAGTTAATAAGTATAATTAAGTTAAGTAAAACTTTAAGTAAAAAAAGTATGATTAAGCTAAATTGTTACGGGTAGACAAAACAGAGAACAGACGACATCTCAAACTCCACGCCAAGCGTACATGCCAAGCACGCAACGCCAAGAGAACTCAGGGGAACCGCACAACTGTCGCAGGCTTCCCGCATAAGGAACTTCTCTTCCTTATGCTTTGAGTTCTGTAACTAGAGCACCTAAATAGGAAGACCTATTTTTATTGTGTTATCACTCTGCCTATTCTATAGGTCGTTCCTAACATAAATAGTACTATAAGTAAAAAAGTATAATCAGGCTAAATAGTGTTATATATAAATAAAAAAGTATAATTAGGCTAAATAGCGCTAATAGAAAAAGTATAATTAGGCTAAATAGTGTTTTATATAAATGAAAAAGTATAATTAGGCTAAACAGCGCTAATAGAAAAAGTATAATTAGGCTAAATAGCGCTAAAAAATAATAAAAGGTATAATTAGGCTAAATGGCGCTAGTATTAAAAGTATAATTAGGCTAAATAGCGCTAAAAAAAATTTAGCGCTGTTTAGCTAGACACTGTTTGGCCTAAAAGTGTGTTATGACCAGAGAAATTCTCGAAATTTACTATGATGATTGGGCTAAAAGTGCTGAAGTATATTGTTAGGGATTAGACTTAGACCATATGAGTTTCTAGACTCCTTTAAAGCGAGCCTAGCTTGCTTAATACCGAATCAGGAGATTGATTCACTATACCTATGCCAGGAGGTGTTGACACCGCATGATTTGGGCGAGAAGTCATTAGAATTGACATCTGCATCGGAAATAGAGCTGCCTGCTGGCTGGTTTCCAGGACCCAGATAATTGGGCAAAGCCGGCCAACCCTGTCGAAGCATGCTAATAGGCAAGCTCGGTTGTGATGGACGAGTATCTGTAAGAAGCCCACCTAGATATTGTGTCAAATATAGTGCTTTCATCTCTGGCTTAGCCAAACTTTGACAAGTTTCGATAAAAGCGCGTGCGATCTCTGTGCGATATCAGGTCTACTGGATGCTGGGAGTCTTTGTAAGGGCTTGGATGACCTTCAGATCTTTCCCATTGTCTTTGTCATCGCGGCTGATAAGAGTAATGTGCTGCGATACGTTTACATGATGACCTTGAGGGGACGCTGCTAAAGTTGAAGTACACTGACATAACGAGCATTCACCATCATCTCCCGCATTCGCGCTTGAGGCAAGAGAAAACCCTAGGGCTGAAAGCGGGGAAAACCTTGCCTGGAGAGGATTACCAAAAAGAGATCATATGGACTTTGCAATTCGCCGCGCTTCCTCGAAGCGACGGAGCTTCTCTTTTAAATCAGCTCCCACGTTGGTGGTGCTGTAGTTTTCGGCAGCAATGGAAGCGAATTCTTCATCAGAGGGCGCGACAAGACGCGCTCCTGCCGAGCAGCAGCTAGATTGCCGGCAAAGTAGTATTCACAGTGTGCAAAATGACAGTCACAGTCGTCCGTCAGTTCAGCAGGTTTTACTCCATTACTCCGTACTTTACGCGTCGATCCGCAAGCTCGACAGAAACGGCAGTATTCGCCGAGTCCGCATTGAGATCGGGTCAGTTTTGCATACTGCTAATGCCAAGCCCATGAGATCTGTTTAAATACGTAGGATTTGAAGAATAGCCCGAGACTTGTCAATATAAGCCTAGAAGTCCCGCCTTGCCTTCTAAAAAACGCGAATTTGGCCAACGCAGACCAGATTTCGATTCGGAGATAATAAAAATGGGCGATAACACCGCCTCCAACGGTCGCCCAGGTACATTGTTCAAACGCTGTCCTTGAAGTGACTTCACGCAACTCGCTCACCACAGGCCACATGTTTTTGGTCGATCATGAATCGGATACGGTCCCGGAGGGTTGCCGAAGCTGGCGCGATCTGCTTCAGTGCGGCGAACACGATTGGGAGCGCCCAGTACCAAGTCAAATTGCCGTCTATGCAATGACAAGCGGCACCACTGGTCTTCCAAAAGCCGCCATGCTCTCTCATCGATCGATACTTGCCCAGACTGCGACTCTGGAAAGCGAATTTCGTGCCAAGACTTACCTGGTCAGTATCATGATTTCTGCATGATTTCTCTTCTCCCATCCTCCATCGCAAAGATAAGAGGATCTTTCTGACGCGTCATACAGCCAAGACAATTGATTTTCTTGCCGATCTTTCATGCCTTTGCCATGCCTCTGGCAATGCTTCTTCCGTTACGGTTGGGAATTCCGACCTACTTCCTTCCACGGTTCCATCTGGCAGATTTCACGAAAGCCGCCAACCGCTTTGCCATCACAGACGTGGCAATAGTACCTTCAATAGCGTCCAGCATAGCCTTGATTCCACCGTCTGAACGTCGTCACCTGCGTTCATTACGGCATCTCATTTCCGCCGCCGCCCCAATGTCTGCGAGGGTCCAAAATCAGCTGTACGACGTCTTGAGCCCGAATGCGGTTGTTTCGCAATGTTGGGGCACCACCGAAGCCGGCTGGATCACGCTCTTTAGCTGGCGCGAGAAGGACGATTCAAGGAGCGTCGGGCGCCTATTACCAAATGTCCGGATGAAGGTCAATCGTTCTCCAGTGTCTCCCCTCTGCTCGACCGAAGGCAGCCCTGGAGAAGGGCTGATCCACAGCCCCAGCATGTTCTCCGGCTACCTCAATAACGTCGATGCGAGTAAGGCGGCCTTTGACTCGGACGGGTTCTTTCGAACAATGAACTTTGGCTTCGTCAACTGAAACATGCGGGACACCTCTGAAGGCGTATAGCCTGGGTTGGTCCCCATGACGCAGCCCCCTGCGCCAATAACTCCGAGCCAGATCAGCGGATACCAGATCTATTGATGTACTTGTTAGTTATTTGATGCAGTATTGTGTTCGTCAATGGGAGGACAACAGCCCTGTTTCGCGGGAAGGGGAACATTGCTGTGATGATCTGGCTTACATTGTTGTACATATGACAGCAGACCACATCACCTTCCTGCAGCCCATGTTCTTTGAAACCCTTGACAAGTCGACGGACAATGTAATATGCTTGGTACCAGGATACCATCTTTGAAGGAATTTTTGCATCCACAAATATCTAGACGTGTTAAGCCCTATCGAAACTTCACAAATCCATCGCAAGGAATATGGCGACAACTCACCGGTTGATCATTCTTCAACAGGTTGAGATGATCGAATACGAAAGTCAAAATGTCCGTGGCTGGAACATTGACCTCTTGGGGTCTGCCAGCCGTGGGTACGAATGTCGACATGATACTACCATTCTGGTTAGCAGTGGCTCTCGATGGGATAACACAAGTGGGATCAGCTTTCCTCACTGAATCAGGCTCCACCGGGAGGTCACGTACTGCCACAGTTGAATCTGCCACGCAGGTCAGATTCCGCCTTCCACAGGATCCAAAGCCAAGATCGGACACATTTGAGCAGGGTCAACTTGAGCAGAGGTGGGCATCAGTTTATATCACCAGTGGTGATTTCTCGCCTCATACTGTACAGGTGGAGCTTGGACCGGGTGAAGAGATTGTTTCCACGAACTAGTGCTCAGCTTTCTGGAGCAGTAAGCATCCAAAAGTTTCTCCTCTGGAAGACTAGTATTTCAGTATGGGGGTCAGTACTAGGGTATACTACTGTGGAGGTCTCGTGCAATGTTACTTCGCAGTGCTTTAACATACAGTAAGTCCTTCCTTTCTGGGAGAAACTTATAATCCTGTTGCAAGCTTTTGTCAACGACATTTACATCAACCAAGTCGTATACCCAAAGATATCCCACTGAC